TGCAAGGTTACGTACTTTGCTAAGATGCTCAGCAAGGAGATGAAGTATTTTTGAGCCCAAGCAGGCAGGCTTTTGAGACTGACTGAGCTTGTAACTACAAAGCATTTTGTGGAGACCTAGCAGTGTATACATTTATCTGTCACCTGATATTTCAACGCTTTTGCGAGTACTAATTAGCTAACCAGAAGACATAGATATGATTTGCAAATTGTGTTTGATAGTGGATGACGATGTGTGTGCTGCTTGACTTCCCAGGACGACAGATGGTCTCACAGAGGTAGAAAGTAGTTCTTAAGTTGATGACTCAATCCTATGTAGGATGCAGCCGATTGAAATATTCTGACTTATATTTCATTTTAAGAAATTTTTATTTATAAAATTGGTTTGTCAGTTTTTCTCTAATTAGTGATACTGTATTCAAATGCCATTTTAAAGTGTAAGTTTTGTCAAATGTATTGAAGCCCCTTTACCAGCAGAAGGCATGGAGCTGGGCACTAGAGGTCACTAGCAGCAAATGAGGGCTTGCTGGTAACCTTAGTTTTATGAATACTCTGCTGTTTGATCTCAAACAATGTGCTGAAAAACAAGGCAAATCTCAAAAATAATCACTGCACACATAGAGGCCTCTTTCCTACACTTTTAACAGTTTTAGGTTAAAAAGTTTGTCAATTTCCTCTTTTATTGCATGTATAAATAAATGTTCTTTCTGATGTATATTTTAAGGCTACTTTGTGATGTAAAACACATTCATTACCTTCCCCTATTCTGTGACACACATTCATGTGTAATATGGTCATATACTCATTTGTTAATGCCTTCCAGGGTAATAAAGCCTATTAAATCAATTAGAAGCATTACAGTTGCCTTTAATCTCATATGTAGGGGTATGATTTAACTTTTTCAGTGGTTTTTGTTAAGTTCCAGCCTTCCTTTATCTAATAGTGAAATAAATAGAACAAATATCCCAAAGGGGAAAGCATGAATATTGGAACAGGAAGTAATCTGTTATTTCTAACCAGACTTGCTGTGATGACTTCCTTTGCAGTATGTCTCTTTTGAGTCAACAGCCTTTCCTCTCTCTGGTCCTCACCTGCCTTAAGGGACAAGATGAGCAACGGGAAGGCCTCCTGACATCTCTCCAGAATCAAGTTAACCAGGTAGGGTAAAGTATAATAAGCCAGGCAAGCATCTTTCCAGTGGTATTCCTTGGTTTTTCTTTTAAATACTAAGATTCAACAAGTAAAGGCACAATGTGTCTTGCTGAGATTGTGGGAAACAACAGTCTATGCAGTGTTCTCCAACCTGGCATTCTAGTCACCTCAAGGTGAACAGTTTTTATAATATTATGCATTATAATACATGCACACAGACTATAAAAGTAAGTGCTTATATGTTGCCTTCTTGAAGCATAATGTCTTCCCCTCTCCTAACTTTGCCTCATGAGTGACCACCTGGCAGAATCTGGTGTAAAGGGGATGATGTGAAAATGTCCTGCTTCTCATACTGGGCTTCCACGTGGCAGGAAGATCTCAACCTTACTGAAGCTTCAGGAAGTCAGTTTTATTGGCACTGAGACTCAGTTTGATCCTAGTTGAACACATAAGAAACTCACTCATAAAGAAGAAGGCATATTGGTTCACTTGCAAAGAATTTGATTACCTTTTCCCTAGCCCCAGTTCTTCTGTCACTGTGAGAGGCAGTTGGCATTCTATGAGATGCGCAGACACTGAATGATTGAGGTAGAAGTTGGAGGGATTGGCTGTAGGAGATGTTTGTCCTGAAATAGAGCCCTCCTTCTGGTACTGTGACTTAGGGGATTGTGTCTTTCTCCTGAGTGTGACTGGGTGGACATGGACAAGTGCCCTTAACTTGTTTTTCTCATCATCTGTATGGAAGACTGTCAGCGTGGGCTGTAAGGCCCTGAATCACTTACATTTGCTGTCTTCCACCTTGCTGACTACCAGTGATGGACTTGCTCATCCACACTTGTGACAGCCACATGTTCCTGTTCCTCAAACTTGCCAAGCAAGTTTTACTTTTAATGCCACACATCTTTTCTTCCCTTTAGCTAAAAGGATTCCTTCTGAGATAGGAGCCTGTCTACTCTTTTGCTTCATTTAGGTCTCTGTTTAGATGTCACCTTCTTAATGAGGCCACGATCACCTTCTAAAAATAGAGCCTGTGTCGTTCCTTCTCCTTTTGCCATGCTTTACACCACTTGTTCAACCTGACCTGTGTTCATTCGTCCCACTAGTATCATACAAGCTCCACGAGAGCTGTGTGTGTTAAGTGTCTCACGCCTTACTTGAAGCTTGGAAGATGGCCATGTCTTTCCCACATGAGATTTAGAAAGGGCTCACTTCTCCTTATGTCGTGTACTGTACTTGCAGGTCACCCTTGGCATGGATTACTCCTGCATGTAACTCGTTTTACTGCTTGCAAAATGTTTCCCATTAGCTACTAGATTTTTCTCTTGTTGTTGGGTATTTGTTTGCTAGTGTCATCTGATTTTAGAGTATAACAAACTGTGGCTTTTCTTACCTCAGCAAACTTTTCCTTCCCCAACATTGATATGAATCAGTGAGGAACTGTAGGAGCAGCCCACGTTATAAATTTGTGTGCTATTTGGTTAATTGATGTGTAAGATGCCATATTTTTCTGAATGGTTTACATTCTTTTTAGCGGAAAAGTGTGTACTAAGATAGCAAACCTTTAATAATACATTTTCTAATGTTCAAAGCACATCCCTAGAAATATGATGGGGCCAATGTAAAATGTAATTCTAGCAGCCTAGTATTGTTTTTCATAAGGCAAATGAAACAAGGTAGTTTTTAAAATTTTTCAAATGCTTCATTTGATGTCTTCTAAAATGTTTTCGAGATTTAGTGATAGGATATATAATTTGATAAGATTTTCCTGTGTTTCTGGAAAGGTAGATGAACAAAGAAATAGCTAGGTTTCTGTCTGCATGAAGAAAGGGAAGGAAAGCTAAAATTTTATACCACTTTCTTTGTTAATTTGTTAAAGCAGAAGTGTTTTTGGCTGTTAATAGAAAACTCAATTTAAGTAAAAGAAGAATTCAACTTTAAGTGGTGAAAGATTTTTCTTTTCTTTTTTTGCCCTGATCTTAGATTTTAAGTAATTGGAGAGAAGAACGATACCAGGATGACACAAAGGCCCGGCAGATGATGCACGAAGCGTTGCAACTCCGCCTAAACCTGGTAAGGAGCCTTTCTGCTGTCTTCCCTCCATTACACACACAGATCGCGTATGTGAAAATAGCTCCAGCTTCCAACTTCTGCTGTAGGGAAATCTGACGGCTAGCATGAGGCCTTTCACTGTTGGCTTTCTGTGTAACCACTTCTCTCTTTTGAGCCTTCTGTTTTCCTTCTTGTGGGAGCAGAGTTCTAGACAGTAGGTAGTTTAATCATTGATTTGTCTTCTCCACCTTATCCCCATCGAGCAGATTTCTCTTTAATTTGTGCTTAAAGTAGGTGTCAGAAGGCCACATTGACACCTACCGAAAACATTTCGTGAGTGTTAACTATTACTATTCTTACTTTAAAAATTTAAAAATCATTCAATGCCAAATTGTGGCAGACTTTCCATCAGATTGATCAGGAAGAAAAATCTTGCAGAGATACAGAAATTAAAAATTTTTTACACTTTATACATTCCTTTGAACTTTTCTTTCCTGTTGCACGAACCCTAATGAAGGCTATGCTAGGGGTTGTTGGGCCTGATGTGTTGTTTTTAACTCAGTATCCACACAGATAAACTGTCAGATAGTGTGACCACAGGCTTAGATACAACAGTAATTGACTAACACAAAGGGGAAGATAGTCAGGTTACACAGTTTTTCCTGTGTTTGGATTCAGTGTAACTACAGCATAAAACTGAGTACATGAAAGACTAGGAAAAAACTATTTTTATTGTTGTCCACACTCAAGCCTTAACTATTCTTTAGTTAATGTTTGGATGACCAAACCATGCTAAAGAATCCAAAATCAGTGATAAATAGCTAAGGGAGAAAGACAGAATGATCTTCAGTCCTTTCAGTGAGGCCTGCCTCTTCCCTATCTCTGTCTAATATCAAAACAAACTTTATTGTATTTTGTATGCTAGGTGGGAGGAATGTTTGACACGGTACAGAGGAGCACCCAGTGGACCACCGACTGGGCCCTCCTGCTCCTTCAGATAATCACTTCAGGAACTGTTGACATGCACACTAACAAGTATGTTTTTTCTCATTTCTTATTTATTTTACTGCATGTGTACATGGTATAGTCTTTGATGATGAGCAATTTCTAGCACATCTTATTAACTTAGGTGCCATTAAAGGTTCTGTGCCTTCAATAGAAATGCTTAGTAAATTAGGAGTATCTTGGCTTGCCTTTAAGATTAAAAGATTTTTGTTTCCTTTCCTAGTGAATTATTCACAACAGTGCTTGACATGCTGGGTGTTTTAATCAATGGAACATTAGCCTCTGACCTATCAAATGCATCTCCAGGTGGATCTGAAGAGAACAAACGTGCATACATGAATTTAGTAAAGAAACTGAAAGTAAGTCTGTGATCAGGTCATGTTATGAGATCACATTGTTTCTGTAATTTGTTAGCTAGTATTTTTTATTTAAAACTACAATCTATTAATTTAAATTAATTTAGTGTAATGATTTACTGTTTGTTTTACCTTAGCTTATCAATACCTGAAAAATTATAAGAATGCAATCTTACAAATTTTTCTTTAAAAAACAAGTTATTTCAAAAACATGTTTAATTATAAATAAACTTTAGAAATACAATATCAAACATATAAACAAGGTGCTAACATTAGATTTAGGATAAATTCACATGTGAACTTGCCACATATGGTTGAAAAATAAACATCTAATATTTGTAAATCTGACTTTATGAACTTAATCTTTAAGCAGTTAAAAAAATAGCACAAAGAAAAAATACAACCAGTGATCTTACAAATAAAATTAATTGATGGTTACCTGGTGGTCTGACCCTGGATGGGTAGAGGAAAGTGTTCCGTGCTGCAGCTCTGTCTTCCGAGTACAAAAGCTACTCCAGATTTTTGTCATTTCAGCACTGTGATGTGTGCTAGTTTGCTATATAAAAAGACAGCTTTTATGTGTGTTCTATTTTCTACTTGAATAGAAGAAATGAAACAGACTCACCACTGATTTGGAGTTTTTCCATAGGCCATGTTCAGGGTGAAAGAACATGATAGCTGTAAAAAAGGAAATGTTGCATAGGGGAACTTCCTTCTTGTTAACTTTGCCTGCATTGTAATTTCTAAATTTCTGTCCCGCTACCCCTGCTTCTCCTGCCCTCCTCCCTCCCTCCCTGTCTCCCTCTCTTTCTTTATTTTCCAGAAAGAGCTAGGAGACAAGCGATCAGAAAGCATTGACAAAGTTCGACAGTTGCTGCCTTTGCCAAAACAGACGCGTGACGTCATTGCTTGTGAACCTATGGGTTCTTTGATTGACACGAAGGGAAATAAAATTGCTGGGTTTGACTCTATAGATAAAAAACAGGCAAGAATAATTTTTTTCCTCATTCATAAGTATGTTTCTGTAACTCACATATTTTTTATCTTTCTGAGGATATATTAAAAAATCTCAAATTTTCAGTTTCTTGACTTTAAAGACATTATTATTATCTTAAGTGCAGTGGTCATTAGTAATATGAATAGGTTGGCTCTTTGAAGAGCTTCACTTGAAATGTTTATTTGAATTTAAATAAATTTCTAAGTCTACTAGGGGAAAACCAAGTAAAAGCTTAATGGGGAAAAACAAATAAACCAAGTTCTGGTTTTACTTTAGAATTACAAGCAGAGTATATGTAGATAAGGAAATTTTCATTGATAAATATTTTCATGTGCTAGTTATTTTAAATGTTATGATACATTCTATCAAACAACAATAAGTGGATGTTTGTTTTATATGACATATTTTTAAAAGTTTTCTGAAATAGAAGATTGCTTAATTACTCTTGCAGTGAACACTGAACAACCACAGTTACCACTGAGCAAACCACAAAGATAGAAGACCAGACCCGTGCCCTCAAGAGAAGCAGACGGACAGTTCTAGTGAGATGAGATTTGTGAGTGATGGTGCAGAAAGAGGAGCAAGGGCTGTGAGGAAGAACCCCTGAACTCAGACAGGGAAATGTCATCAGAGCAAGGTCCCTAGAGTGTTAGGTAGAAGGTGTAAGAACTAGCTGGTGAGAGTGGGGTAAGGCAGAGGACAGGGTTCATTTAAGACATGAAAGAATGTCTTATAGGAAAAATGCAGTACATTGCTGCTGTCAGAGTTACAAAATACACAAAACCAGTAGCGCTGTGAAAAGAGAAAAGCTGTAGACATGGTAGGTCAAGTGTGGGCTGTCTAACCTGAGACTCCCAGATCCATATGAATATGTGATCTTTATAGCCAGGAAAATGGTCTCACTTCAAGACAAATGTTTGGAAATGGTTAATTTACAGGTAGTAATTGATTGCTTTTAGAAACCTCCCACAAAAGAGTACTCGCATTTAATGGAATAACTGCATAGTTATGGGGGGCATACATTTCAATGCAAAACATGTTTAAATTAACGTATGAGGGAATAATAACCAAGCAAGATCAAAAATAAGAAACTTTTATGTCAATGTTAAGAAACAGATTGACATTCCTTTTCTAGAGTCATTAAAGATAAACTGCGGTTGAAGGTCTGTATTTGTACCTGTTGGTATATAATTTAATTCTATGGTAATATAACTGTATTCAGGTATTAGCTTACTAAATACATGAAAGTTTCCAATATCAAACAAGTCCATATTCCAATATCAACTTCAGTCTGTTTGGACTGAAGTTAAGATGAGCCCAGTTAGAAGCAGACTGTATTTCGACTTAATTTTTGTATTAGCTTAAAAATAATAGATTCTGGCGATTTATAGCTGGTAATATTTACTATAGTAAAATCAACTTTGTAGTGTACTTTAGAAACTTTTTTTTACAATAAGACTACATGAAAAATGCCCTTTTACGGTGCAATATGCTAGAGTGCCTTATTTTGCCTGAACGGAGCATCATTCAGTATAAAGAACTGTGGATGGGAGCTGAATGTCTGAGTGCTAGCTGCTTCTCTCCAGGGACCTAGCTAGTTAGCCCTCATGCATGGATGCTGCATTCTGTAAGGTTCATAACAGCAAAAATACTCCATGCATCTATGACCAAGCGTGCCTGGCCTGTGAATCAACAAGCGATCTGAGTGTGTTGTCATTGGGCATTATTTTACCACAGGGACTCCAGGTCTCCACAAAGCAGAAGGTGTCCCCTTGGGATCTATTTGAGGGTCAGAAGAACCCAGCTCCTCTGTCGTGGGCCTGGTTTGGGACTGTGCGAATGGACCGCAAAGTGATCAAGTACGAGGAGCAGCATCACCTTCTTTTGTACCACACACACCCCATGCCCAAGCCCCGAAGCTACTACCTCGAGCCGCTGCCCCTGCCTCCTGAGGAGGAAGAGGAAGAGCCCACATCTCCCATTTCTCAGGAACCAGAAAGGAAATCAGCTGAGCTGTCAGATCAGGGAAAAACCACAGCCGATGAAGAGAAGAAGACCAAGGGAAGGAAGCGCAAGACGAAATCAAGCTCACGAGTTGATGTGAGTATGGGAAGTAAAAAGATTGGTTCACTAGCCTCAAGTATGTGGTTTTCTCTTGACCAAATTATACTCCTAGGAACATAACTGAAATCACTATAAGCTTTGTTGTAAGTCTGTGTAGTAATTAATGAGCTGCACAAATGAAAGATTTAAAACTTTTGATTTTCCCTCCTCTACTATTTAAAAATTTCTCCACTTTTAATAGTTTTAATTCTAGTCAACCATGTGAATAATAGTGAGTTAATATTTCATTGCCTTATAATTTAATTTTTTTTAGAGATTCATTCTGTTGTACTTTTTTAGAGATCCATTCTCTTGTATTGTATTCAGGGTTTTTTAAAGTATATTTATGGTGTATTAAGTGATTGATATCTGTAGTAAATTAACATAAAAAACTCTTTTTGCTTTTCTCTAGTTATATTAATATATCCAGCTAAAAGTATGATCCTGAGATTTATTTCACCATTGTATCTTACCCTTTTGTGTATTCTACTTTTTCACCGTATTTTCAGGTTTTAAGGTAAATAAAATTTAAAGTAGCTTCATCTCTTTCTTGCCAATAAATACTGTTTTCTTTTAAAGAAAATTTAGGTGGAAATTTAGAAGTGATTTCATGAACTATCAGATGTTATGTATAAAATACCTTTCCATTTAAATTTACCTGGGAAATACTTGGGAGAGGATTTGAGATATTTTCCTACAAAATTTAAGGATATTCTTGTGGCACAGTGGAAGAAATTCACAAGTGGAACATTCACGAGTCATTATTGTTACTGTTCATTTATATCAAAACCAAAGCTTATCTTTTCCTAGCTGATAGCTTGCTGGTTAATGCTCTCCTAGAAATGTCCCCTATCGCTTCTGGATACCCCTTGACTGTGGGTGCCTTCTCCTCATTTAGTCTTCCTTTCCCGTGCTTCTTTGTATGGAACTCATGTTCCACTTGGACCAGGTTGCTGATCCCTACAACTATGATATCCTTGCCTCCCAGTCCACAGGGAAGGGTGTCATTGCTTTTCAGACACAAAGGCCTTAAGCCATCTCATTCCCCAGTGAGCCTTGTCATTGCTCCCTTACTTCTTTCTTCTGAAGCTACTGTTTTCTAATGGGATGTATCCTTTTGTAAAATTGCGGAACACTGCGATTCTGATTGTCTTTCATTCCCTAGGCTTAGACTAGAGAAAGGAAGGATGAAGAGGGAAGTGAGGCATTCTGGTGTGGTCCTTAGAGAATGCAGCTGCTAAGGAAGAAGCTCAGGTAGTGAGGGAGAATCTACTTCTTCCGAGTGCTGCCTTAAAAACTGCAAGAAAGAAGCAATGGCGGAGAATGGTTCTAAAGCACTATGGGCATTTCCGGCATAATTTCCGTCCAGACCCAGGGTTCAAGACTTCCAAGATCCTCTCTCAGCTGTGGAAATTGTATCGTATTGGTATATTGAATGCACTTTTAGTGTTTTAAAAACAGTTTGCCAGGTGTTATTTTCATCTTTGCCCACTAAGGCCAAATACTTTTGTGCATGCATATGTGAATGTGTATATGTATGTGTGATGCTAGGTATTCAACCCAGGGCTTTGCTCCTGCTAGGTAAGTATGCTACCATTGAGCTATGCCCTTGGCCAAGTACTTGTTAGGCCAAGGAAATATTTTAACTCTGTTGTGTTAATTTTATAGAGAATAGATTAACAATTTTACTTTACATCTTCTTTTTTAGAATAACAGCTTTATATACTGGACAGGAAGTATTTCAGCTGTACAGGAAGTGTTTGCATTAATCATTTGTACATCATGTGGAATTAAACTTTTTAAAAATCTTTATGTTAAAGGAGTATCCACAGAGCAACATATATCGAGTGCCTCCCAATTACTCGCCCATTTCCTCTCAAATGATGCACCATCCTCAGTCTACCTTGTGGGGTTACAACCTTATGGGCCAGCCTCAGCAGCCCGGCTTTTTCCTTCAGAATCAGTCTCTCACTCCAGGTTTGTGACAAAGAATATAGTTGGTTGGGCTGTAGCTGGGGGATTCTCATATGTTTTAACTTGAAACCTCTTCAGAACTTGGGAATTTGACGAATGAAGTATTCAGTAAACATTTTTGTAACCCCTCCCCCCATTCAAAATGTGTTCATAGTTTAAAATACGCCTTCAGCTGGGTGTGGTAGTGTGTGTCTGTAATCTTAGGTACTTGTGAAGCTGCAGAAGGAAAATTGCTTGAGCCCAGGATTTCATGGGCAGTCTGGGTAACCTCTTCTGGAGACTCAACAGTGCAAACTACAAAAAGCAAACTCAGTGATAAGTGTAGAAGATAAATAATTATATTTTTTTTACTTTTTAAAATTCCAAGACCTAAGTGAATTTTTTAGCTAAACTTTGTAGATATTAAAACCACAGGGCTATAAAGTTGGAAGATTACTTTGTAAAAGCGTTTTACCCAAGATCTCTCCCTTGTTGCCATGTAAGAAAAGTTTTGAAGAAAAGAATT